TTAGCTAACCAACTCGGGTATTTAACCTCCCGGATGAATCCTATTTTTAGAAGTTTAGATACCTCATCCTTGATGAACGCGTGTTTGATCTCGGACTCTAGCCTTCTCTTCTGCTTAACCGGATGGAACTTCGGGTCCAAACTCAGCCTGTAAGTGGTTACCTTCGGTGGGATCCCTGTCATATCTAAATGGGACTAAGCAAAATAGCCGATATTAGATTTAAGAAAATTAATAAGTTTTTTACTGAGCTCGGGGTTTAACCCTGTGCCCAGGTATACCTTTCGATCCGATAAGTGCTTGAATAACATGTTCCAACTTCTCGACCATTGATTTGGTGGCGTCAGTGTCATCAGGAGCAATGGATGATCTCGGGATTCCGTATTCGTCCTCATCATCTACCCTCTGGTCTTCATGCCTCTTCGGTTTGGCTGAGGTCTGTACCAGTGATTGCTATTTAATCTCTTTTTTTTGGCTGGTTCCGTGCTCCTCGATGTTGAAACTGCGGGCACGGGGATAACTTCATCATTAACAAACATTTCCTTCGTGGCCAGCTGCTCTCCATAGACCGTTTTGACTCCCCCCTCCTCCCGTTATGGGAAATTTCAGCGACTGGTGTAAAGTCGAAGGTACCGCCCTCATTTTATGGATCCATGGCCTTCCGAATAAAGCGTTGTACCTCATATCCCCTTCGATCACATGGAACTTCGTTTCTTGGATCATACCTGAAGTGTTTACCGACAAAGTTATCTCTTCTTTTGTGGTCTCACACGCTATGTTGAATCCATTCAATACCCGGACTGCCGGTATAATTTGATCCTTTAAACCTAATTGCTTTACGACCCTCGATCTGATAATATTGGCCGAGATATGACCGTGAGTGCCGTGATACTTACACATCAAGTTAGGATCTCGCTAGGCCAGGTCGGACTGCAATGGTCGAGGTCACTTTGTATCTTTGATGCACCCTATGGCCGGCACGATGCGTGCATCATCCACGTTGAAGTTATATTCTAATAATCTTGGTGCCTCCCTACTCCCGAGTGACATGTCAAATCCGTTCTTGCTCATCAATCTTCGGCCACTAGGACCTCTATCATTTCTCCTTTCGTCACTTACTAAGTGACGCCCATATCCGTTTTCCCTTTGATATGAGATGTACAGTTGATACTGATCTCGGACAGGTCTTGGATCCTGATCAATGGCTCTCTTAGACCTATCATCGGTCTTGATGGGATAAACATATCCAGAAGGGGCCCCGAGTTGGTCGTCCTCGACCCTGATCTTCAACTGGTATCAATTATGGACGTCGGTCTAGGTTACCACCGGGTACTTCACCAAATTTTGTTTTAGCTGTTGAGAGGCCACGAAACTTCGGGGGTTGAAACCCTGAGTGAATGCCTGAATGGACCAATCGTCTGCAATTGGTGGCAAGTCCATCCGCTTCATTTGGAATTTTGATACGAACACCCTCAGCATCTCGTTATCCTTTTGCTTAACCTTGAAAAAATTTGACTTTCTGGTCTCGACCTTGATGGCTCTGACATGGGCCTTTTACGAAAGAATCTGCAAGCATCAAACGAGTCAATGAAATTTGGAGGCAAGTTGCGATACCATATTATTGTTCCCTTGGACAAAGTTTCCCCAAACTTTTTCAGCAACACCAACTCGATTTCGTCATCTTCCAAATCGTTCCCTTTAATCGCGCATGTATAGGAGGTTACATGCTCATTTGGATCTGTGGTCCCATTATATTTGGGAATATTGAGAATCGAAACCTCTTCGGGATAGGCTTCGGTGCCGCGCTTGGAAGGAAGGGCTTCTGGATAAATTTTTTGGAGTCCAGTCCCTTCAATATCGGGGGTGCTCCTGGGATCTGATCGACCCTAGAGTTGTATGTTTCCTCCTTTTTTTCGTTGGCCTCAATCTTTTTCTCACCTGAATTCACCCATTTTGTCAATGCTTCGAGCATCTTCATTACCTCTGAAGTTACCCCGGGCTCGACTTCACCCTATCTCTTAGTAGTTTGTTCATCTCTTCGAATGTTTTCTCGGGATTGTTCAGGCTCGACCGTATTGGGGGTGTGGCTTTGATTCTGTAGCTGTGTTATTGTCGTTTGTTGAGCGTGCAACATTTTCAAAAATTATTCGTAGGCTCACCCTATCACCTTCACCTTCGGGCGTTTCTCAAGCTATTGGCCGGGGTGCCCTACGAACACTATTTTCGGGATCAGTTGGCAAATTGATGTTGATTGCCACCTGTGAGTTAGCATCAATCGGGTCGCCGACTGGGACACCGTTGGGATCAACAGAAAGCACATCATTACTGGGTACCACATTATTATTTTCGTCATGATGGCCTGACTAGCGTCAACGTTCAAGTGAGCAGACTGAGAGTTTGACATTTTTAGGCTGACCTAGAATTAAGATTTCAAAGAACAAGCGTAAAATAGGGTGTGTTATGGATATTCGTACCAAATTACCACGATTATCCTTAGCCCCACGGTGGGTGCCAAACTGTTTATCCCAAAAATGAGTAACAATTAAATTTGAACGTGGTTTAAAGGATAGGTGATTTAATTCAATACGAATTAATAAGAATAACAAATAGATGAATTAAAGACAAAATAAATAATCAAACCAATTGCAATATGATGACCAATCTTGTTCTGATTAGACATGGAGTTCGTCCTCAATCGGACCCTCGGTACATGCTTGATCATGAGTAAAGGATAGAACAAACAAGTAATGCCCTGAACAGTAGCTAGAGGACAAAAGAAAACTTTGTATTGCCTTCAATTGTGTGTTACAATGTGTTAGAAAAGAAAAAAAAAATTCTCTTTATGCAATAGAAAAATTTCAACTCTAATACGAGTCTAAAAAGGTAAAAATTTGGTTTTCCCGACAATTGTTGATCCATGATTGATACCGACGAGATTCACGCCGTAAAATTTGGTTGAGGGCGAATACTATGGCCCCCTATCCGTCACGCATAACCGTCTTCCTCGTCGAACCATATTTGATCCGGGTACATTGCTTTGTCATGTCTGATCCCAGATACATCGTTTGCTTTTTCCTGTCTTTGTATGAGGAGTTCTCGAGGTCAAGAAGTCATACTCGGTCCATGCTTCTCCTTCGTTCTTTCGGGTGAACCGCTTCCGCCCCTTGTCCACAGCAAGTACCCTCTATGGATAAAAGTATATTCGTTATAAAGAGTTAAGAGAACCTTTTTTGCTACAGCCAAATTAACTAGACTAGAAGATCAAAGGCAATTTGTTTCTTAATAATCACCAAAAGCTCTTACTTCCACTCATGCAGTATGGCTATTAAACCAACATTTCCAATTTTAGGTGATCTCAAAAGCAAATGGCTCTTCCTAAATTTCTGATAAAGTGATAATGAAGGAGGAATTGGGACCTTCAAAGGACTTAGTGCTCCATTAGCTATCTCTAAAGACATGATTAGACACATAGCAATGATTAAAGGGTCAATTAAAGAGAGATGCTTCTCTCTTTCTTCTACTTTGTTGATTGCATTGGAGTCATAAAACCCCATTTTTAACATAGATTCTTACTATCTATTTTCTTTATCTCATCTTTCTTCCGTGCGGGAAAGCGGGTGTTTAATCATCATTGCTTTTGGATGCTTTTGCTAATGCTTAGATAACCAACCATAAGAAGTGTTATATTTCCCGAGTTAGCGAGCTATGTCAAGAGCCGTCAAGTCTGATCTAGCTGTAAGAACGCAACGCATAATATATATGATTTAATATACGCAATAAATTCAAACTCTGCCGCAAACAAAAGTCTAATATTTAAATGGAGAAGGGTGCAAAAGCGAGCTAATTATCTACCGAGTTTCATAGCATGCACTATTAACCTCGGGGGTGCTTATGTTATAAAAGTAGTGTGCCCCAATTTTTAGTGAAAGGTTACTATACAAAGTATGAGAAAGCATGAATAAAGGATGGTAAAAGCTTACCCGCATCATGAGTCTATGCAAAATATGTCTTTCATCCACACATTTATCACTTAGCATGATTAAGTTCTACGTCTTCTCACTTTAATTTTTAATTGCTAAGGTTAAATTTCTTAATGTGGTGTAAATACTGTCCTAGGCTGCAGAAAAGCTATTGTACCTTAACACATTTTTTTCTTTTGACTGCAAAAGACAATACCTTCCCCAACAAAAAGTGGTCCACAACTGAATTATGAGCAAAGGTGCTCATGTTTTCTTTTATTTCGTCTCCCCCAACCTCACCGAGACAACAAAGAAAAATTGAATAATCAAATGATAATAATGGAAAGTATCATTTAAATTACTGCGATATGGAAAGTAGTTAAATCAGCTGGTTAACATGCCGCTTAGCGCTTGTTTCATGTCAAAATAATTTATTTTGACATATTAAAGGATACATCACAGTTAATTGATTAAAGTAAAATCATTTTGTGTGAAGTACTATTTGGTTATTTAATCTTAAAATTCTTATATGTCGTAACAAGATGCCAACGATTCCTACTAGTGGTTGCATTTTTCATTTTCACAGTTGCTGGAAAACCAAAAGAAAGGAAAAGAAAACCACTTTGAATGTCATAACTCATAAGAAATTCATTCCAACTTTACTTCACCATTCGGCATAAAATTATAAGAAAAGTAAATGCCCTTTGATCATCTAGTGCCGCACGCCATAGATTACAACAGCTTTTTGAACTTCAAAAATAATATTATAACTGTGAAACACACATTTATATAAGTGTATATGTATCATCTTCTGCTTGTAGTTTTTATTGCAGCTCTGAGAATATATGCATGTAATGGAGGGTCCCTATTTTTTAATATTCATGATGAAGCCCGCCGTTCAAGAACTAATCTTTTTAACCCTTTATTATGTATAAAGAAGAAATAAGGGTAGAAAGACAAAAGGAAGATGGAAATAAAGTTTTAAGTAAACTTTTAAAACTGGGACCTTCCAATGTTAGAATAGAGTCTTCCACTTCATTCCTTCTTTTTGAATTTTTAAGATTTCAAGAGACTTTTCAATTTATTACTCATAGTACTCATGAGTCACTGAGTCATACACTGTTATATATAGCACTGTTTCCTTCCTCTTTTTCCATTGTGCTCCCCCTTGCGTACTATGTTAACTTTCTTTGGTATCAACAGATAGATATAGGCAAAAGTAAATGTTACTGAAGTTAAAAAAATTCAAAAGTTTCAAGTAGAACCAAGTTTTTACTAGTTAGTAACTCACTGATCTTCTCCTTTTCAATGGTTGTAATGGAGACAGTGAGCTCTTGTGGTGTTAAATGCAAGTCAAATAAGTTGGAAGGGATCAATGAAGACAGTGCAGCAAGTTGGCAACCATTGGCATGTCCTCCGCCAGAAACTCCTACTGAGTCTATGGAGTTCCTTGCAAGATCATGGAGTCTGTCAGCTATGGAACTCTCTAAAGCGCTTTCTCACACAAAACCAACATGTTGTCTAGACGAGAAGATGTCATTCTCTTCGTTGCAAAGTCAACTTGGAAAAACATCGATTATGAAGGAAACTGTAAGCCTCTCATCGTTAAAGCGTGTGTTTTTGTTCATTTACTTCTGTATAGGGAACAAATCCAGTTATGGAAATGCTTTACATTCATTTATTGATTACAAGTTTCTCTTGTTGTCTTTACATTGCAGCAAGAACAACCACCATCTAACTCAGATAGCCCTCCAGTTTCTCCAAGGGGAAGTGACAATACAAAGGTAAACCAAAGAGAGAAGCAAGAGGGGATGGGGGTTCCTATCTATTCTTGCACATGCTTGCATGCAACTAAATCTTTTGGATATACACATCCTTCTTTGAAATTATACAAGGATAACTACACTATTATACTTCATAAAACAATTTATCATGTTCCCTTATTCGTATTTCTCAAGAGCACAAAGGCATGTAAGGGTAGTAACTAGTAAAGTGTATGAAATGCACATGCTCTAAAAGAAAGAGGAAACTGACTGTCCTATGAAAACCTGCACTTGAAGAGTTGAATTAAAGTTAGGCTAGAGGATTAACAGTAGTGGTGTACCGTTTTTGCTGAATTATATTGAACACAGACTAGGCACTACAACAATGAATCCTGCATTTGGTCGAAAGGGTAACCATGAAGTCATCATCGTTTTGTGAATCTAATTAAGTACATGGACTCCAGGTTGATGGAATTAAACTTTCTTTCTTGGTCCTAAAATTACCCTCAACTCTCTCAGTTTTTCACTTTGAATAACCATAATCAGAACTAACTGTATTGATGTGTGCAGGAATTGTTTTTATTACATCAGGCACTCAATCCAGATTTCCTCTCTAGTCAACATTTGATGAAAGCTGGGGTATACATTTATTTTGGAAATATTTTACTAATGCATCTGAACCCTCATGACCAAAACTGGCATAATGCAGCTCTACAGGACCGTGATGCGTGGTAAGACAATGGGTAGATGGCTGAAAGATCAAAAGGAAAAGAAAAAACAAGAGCTTAGAACTCACAGTGCCCAAGTGCACGCAGCAATTTCCGTAGCAGGGGTTGCAGCTGCTGTGGCTGCTCTTGCAACTGCATCAGTAACTTCTCCAGAGAAGTCCAAAACCCAACACAAAGCATCTTCAAAGATGTCAACTGCAATTGCATCTGCGGCAGCTTTAGTTGCATCCCATTGTATTGAAATTGCAGAGGACATGGGTGCTGAACAGGATCAAATCTTATCGGTTGTAAACTCAGCTATTAATGCGAGAACTAGTGGAGACATCATGACCTTAACTGCTGGAGCTGCTACAGGTATCAATCCAACTGGTCAACCATTTATAGAGATGCAAACAATTATTGTCAACTGTTTCATACTATAAAGAAACTGTAACACTAATCTATCTCATCGGCATTCACCGTTACAGCATTGAGAGGTGCTGCGACTCTAAGGGCGAGGCTACAGAAAGGAAATGGAGCTGCAGCTGTTGCTCTAGCTGACGAGCGTGTCGAAGGTAACAAAGAATCAACTGTTACAGCAGCTCTGAGCTATGTTGCCAAAGGGGGAGAACTACTCAAACGTACAAGAAAAGGTACTATGGATTGAGGAACTACACTTACCTTGCAAGATATACTGCAGTTATTTTGTCAATAATTTTTCTGTTCATGCAGGAGATCTCCACTGGAAACAAGTCTCTTTCAGCATAAATTCTGATTGGCAGGTAATATATGAGAGTACTATTAAACAACTACTGAGTTTCAGATCAATATGTAATGTAAAATCTGCTCAGTGTACATTCTAAAATCCTCGAATAAGCTGTTAGATGGAAAGCAACAAAGTTTACTTGTGCAGCTCACATGGTTGTTATCTCATGCCACCCTATATCATCATAACAAAATAAGAGAATATGAATCTTTGGTAGCAGGTCATAGCTAAAATGAAAAGCAAGCACATGGCAGGAACATTCACAAAGAAAAAGAAATGTAAGCCAAAAGAAAACACTCACTTTAGTATCAAATTGTCTCTGTCTTCCTTTACACTTTCATCTAAATTGGTGGTTGTTGAATGCACAGGTGAGGTCTCTGGAGTCTATTGTGACATAGCAGCATGGCATGGACGAGACGAGGAAGGTGATGAGCAGAAGTGCTATTTCGGGATACAAACTGCAGACAGGATGATTGAATTCGAATGCAGAAACAAAGGAGAGAAACAAATGTGGGTGGATGGGATTCAACAAATGTTGTGCTGCCGCATGACCATGACATGACTTTGGATGAACATTTCAAAAGAGAACCGATGTAGTAGCTTTTAGTGTGACTTTCAAACTCTAAAATAAGACATCCAACCAGAGAAGTAATGGATTTATTTCAGCTGTTACATCTATATATAGGGATAGATTACATATTAAAAAATGGCACTGATCTATCCTTGGTTAATGCTGCAATAGATGATCTGAATGATATCACTGGACAAATTGTGAAAACTTCTTCAGAAGCCTAGTGCAGAATTGAGATGTTTGAGGTGATACTGTATATGTTCACTCTAATTCCTTCATAAAATCAGCATTATCAACAAAAACCTGCAAGATGAAAAAATTAAATAACTAAAGATGGAAAGCATATAAAGAAAAAAAAAAGTATCCTTCCTATTCTGATACCTATCACAAGTGGAAAAAATTGGTGCTCTAACTGTAGCTGAACATTTTGTTCCCACTCAGATGCCTGGTTTGAATTAGTCTTCCCTAACTAGATTCCACATGACATCATTTCACAAGCCAGAAACCTTACATCAATCACCAACCTTATAGTGGTGTATGCTTTTGCCATTTACGGATACGTCCTGTGTCTCAATTGAACAGACCTAGGTATTATCCAATAGACCAACATACTTCAGCTTTACGATTGCAGAAATAATGTTTTAGCTTAAATTTGGAGTCCAATCCAAAAATAACATTATTTTTTCCTAAATTCAATAGGTGCTGACATACAGTGATTCTATACCAAAAACTTAGTTGGTCAAATTAACATATGAATTTAGCCAATAGAGTGTCATCATCTTTTCACATATTGAAGAAAATGATGTCTCTACTGCAGATTTGATACATCATCTTTTTCTCTCTCAGCTAGTGCAAGGTTAGCAGTGACTAAGCGATTGTTTATTTACGTGGTCCTGGCCAATGTAGTGAGGGTCAGTGAAGAGAAGTTTTCAGTGATTGATCTTTTTATAACTTTTGTTCTGTCCTCTCTTCAAATAAAGCTAGAAGATAGTCAATGCTAGTGATTTCAAGGTAGATGACTGCCTTCAAATTATATTCCGACACAATAAAGCATGAGATGTCTAAAAACAAGTTTTGGTGCATTGTCTAATGCTGGAAAGGTAACTACTAGGTCATGCCAAAAATAATCATAACTGTTGAAGACTTACTGTCTTCCAACCATCAGGATCAACGCATGCCATGATCTTGGTGTTGATGCCCGGCAATGGTCCAGGTTCAAGTACAATTTCCCCGCCATACAGTTTTATAGCTTCTGCAGTCTTGTATACATCATCTGTTCCTACTGCAATCTGCAAAGATATGGAATGTCTCTTACAAGCTGATTGATATCTACAGATTATCTCAAGTCAGGGAAAGAAACTAAGATCAATTAACTTCAAATGAGTGTGCCAATTTTACACGTCTTAAACAACATACTACAAAGTAATAAGGTCACTTAATTTGTAATAATATATTAGAAAGAATGGCGTTACCTGAGCATAGCCATTTCCTTTATCATAGCTTTTGACACCATAGGTATATGTCAATTCCAGAACTGCATTTTTGTCTTCAGGTCCATAACCCATGACGGCTATTGTGTTCTGAAAACAAGTGTTAATTACTAATAAACAGAAGAGAGACAAAACTATAAATAAGCATTAGGAAATGTCCAAGTAAAAAAAACAATATATAAAGTGCAGGGGGCATTACTTTAATAAAATCTAATGGAGAATATAAGAAGATAGACCATCCTAGTGTAGAGACTCAATCTAGCATGACAGGAATTGTGTACCACCTTGAACTTGAAGTATGTTTGCAAAGCCAATGGAGAGAAAATCAAGAGTAAAAGGAAACCAATGAGGAGTAGTTTTATTAAAGGTGTTGCAGCCATAAATCAAATAAATAAACTTGCCGCTCTCAAATAGCTTAAATTTTTACATGAGGTGGTTCACACAATTAAACATATGAAAGAATTAGAGTACTCAACCAAAAACATAAAACAACGATTAGAGTGACCTTATGATCTTTACAAACACCTTACATTACAAACCCCTTTGGAAGCCCTTTAATAGCCAATGTGAGACAATACATAACTCAGTGCACTTTCCAACAACAAGAAGATTGCATAAGCATACAAACAGGAAAAAGTACAACTATAACCACAATAGAACAATATTTCGCAAAATAACCTATAAACTCACTTTGTTATCAGGATTATCTCTTTTACAAAGAAGCTCCATGCCAAATGCCTTGAAAAATTAATCAGCAATGAGGATTTAGTATTTATTGCAATCTAAGAGGACAAGTATGTAATAAAGCAGTTTAAGTTTTGAAGACCTAGAACTTTCATCTAGCAAATGTTGCAGTTTACCTTCTTATAGAAATTAATGGACTGGTCAAGATCTCCTACACGAAGCATTACTTCACGGAAAGGTTCAGGAGTAGGCCCTCTCTGTAAAAGTTCAAATTTGTAGCCATCAGGATCTTCCACGAGGGCAATTATAGTTCCTCCAACTTTTGATTGGACCAGGTTCCAGGTCCCTCCTTTAGCTTTTACTAAGTCTACCGTTTTAGCAACCTATATGGAAAATTCGAAAATTATGTCCCGGTAAATATATGTGAACTTCTATAAACAATTATAGGAAAAACAAAGACAAAGAATTACTATTAGAAGAGCTTTTCTAAAGGTGTCTAACTGATATGCTGGTACTTTTCATGGCAAGATGTATGAAAGTCACCAGCATGTAATGAGCAGTAGAGTAACTTTTAAAACCAATACCAATCCAACAAGGACAAAGGTAAAAGATAATCAATTCAAAGGCAACTGCACTAAAGACCTCTAAAGCTCGTGATCATAGTTTACTTGATTGCATGACATCAAAGAAGTATAAATTGAACTGATTGAATTTTTCATCTTATGAACAACTTACATCCTCAACTGCAATTCCAAAATGACCAAAACCAGTTCCAATGTCATACTTGTCAACTCCATAGTCTGAAAGCAACAGGGAAGTACAATGACTGCAACATTGTAAAATATAATAGACGACTGCTGAAAAAAGCATAGTGGCAACTGCAAACTATGAGGAGCCTTACTGTAAGTAAGTTCAACGGCGAAATTTGTTTCTTCAGGTCCATAACCAAGAAAAGCATTTGAATAACCCTCCTCTAGTATGTCTCGTTTCCTTAACAGCTTCATTCCCAAGCATTCTGTGTAGAATCTGCATCACAAGACAACTTTGTTACCTAGTTGGGATTTGGGAATATGAAACATAGTACTGAATTCTTCTCTGAAAAAGTAAACATACTTGATTGTCTTGTCCAAATTCCCAACACGATAAACAGCATGGAGCATTCTTCTTTTGTCCTTCTTGATCCACTCTGATGCATTTTCATCACTTAGGGCAATATTTGACTGCGCCAGTTCAGCGTTAGTTCCACTTTCAATCACTTTCCCTTCAGCGTCAATGGATTCAGGTGCTTTTCCATTGAATAGCTGTGATTGAGTGATAGCTGATAACCAATGAACTTTTGTAAGCCATTTACTAATCCACCATTCTTCAGTCTTTTATTTCTATCTATACGAAGTTATGGTTATACATCTAAAATATCAACTGCTCTATAGACCGTTGGTCAGAATTTCTTATACAGAGAGTGTGACAAAGAATTTTGTGTTCATAGTAGGGACAACCTATAGCTCCTACCTTTATTTGGGAATGGTGCTGTCAAAAGGTACAGATAGCGAACTACATTGCACAATAGGCTTTATGTGATCTGCTCTACTAGTTCTCCATATTCATCTGCCACCCCTCACTCGAAATTCTATATAATGTAATTACTAGATGATCAGTTACAGCTAATTAACTTAATTAATCAATTCAATGAAATGAGAAATATTTTCTAATATTCGAAGAATTGAAAGATCATCATGAAATAACTTTTAATCCAAATGAAATTCACAAAGTGTAATCTTAGGCTGATGAGCCCCACATTTTGTAATGGATTGACTACCAATTCAGATACCTAGCTCTCAGCAGAAGACCCTTTCTTGTTCTTCATTCTTTTTTCATTTGGGATTAGAAAATATCCTATGGACTTGGTGAGTTTGCAACACCATTAAGGGCCTGTTTTGAACGTCACCTTGTAATTGGATGTAATTACACAATTTGACATGTTTGTCTGGTCAATTAATTACTTGGTCACTTGAAATTGGGTGTAATTAAAGGGGAGCAACACCCTCCAATTCTTTGGGGGTGGGGGTGGGGGGGTTGGGGGGTGGAGAATTGGTGGAATTACATACACATCTGAAATTCTTTCCTCTTTCATTTTGAACATTTCTGATATATACATGTATTTGTCACACATTCAAAACAAAAGAATAATGTAATCACATTTGTAAACCAAAATGACATTGGAAATTATATTATCACAAACAAATAGGTCATTGTAATTACTATACGGTGTAATTACTTGACTACGTAATTACTACGCTAGTAATTACACATTGGTTTCTGAACAGGCCTTAAAGGTTTTTCAGACAATTCATTATCTGCAGCGTTGAAATTATACTGTTACGTAATCTCTAAATTGAGGACGGTAAAGACTTCACAGAAAGAAAAAAAACCAACTTCTGTGTGTAAGTATAGTCGGTCAGTGTCGTGTTTTAGTATGTCAGTGGTACATGTTGTGCTCGTACTATTTTCTAGGACCTTGTCACTGCATTGATTATTGATATTGCTTTTCCAGGTATGTTTTCTGACTCTTCGTTCGCTGGTACTATATTTCTGTTTATGTTGTTGTTACTATTATATTGTCGCATTTCATCTTCTTGTGCCGAGGGTCTATTCGGAAACAACCTCCCTAATCTAGGGTAGTGGTAAGGTCTGCGTATACACTATCCTCCCCAGACCCACTTGTGGGATTATACTGGGTTGTTGTTGTTGTTGTTGTACCCAGCAGTGAAATTTTCCCCCAAATCAATCTCTACAACCTTTTCATGTTTTGCTTAGTTAAGTTTGAATTGCATTTGGATAAGATAAGAATAAAAGGCCATTCTTTTTTCAGTTAGATATCTAATAGTGTAACAAAATCATGAAGGCATAGTGTACACTACTCACAAGATATGAAATAAGAAGAATGAAATGCAAGAACCTGTACTGAGTTGAAATAAAG